TGAATATAATAAGATATTAGCAAAAAAGCTAAAATCTTATAAAATCAATTTGTTATTAAAATTAGTATCTCAAGGATAACTTCAATTGCGATTGGTAATACTACAAAAATTTAAGCATTTTAAGGATCTGAAAGTTAGATATTTTATTAATTTACTAGATAATATAATTTCATTAGCTTTAGAGTTTTATCCTATAATATTTCATAGTGAAATTTGACCAGCATATAGAGAAGCTATGTTTCATATTTAGGCTAATTTTTTATCAACATTGATGTAGATATTATAATAAATTATTATTGGCATTTTTAAGTGACATCTTTTATTAGGCTGATACTAATTATCTTATTGCAAAAGTCTTTTCAAACTTACTTCATGTATTTAATAATTATTATATAAAAAATTTTTACAACTCACTTCAATGACAGATATATAAATCAAATATAATAAATCAGATTATTTAAAAAATATGAATAGTTGATCAAATGCGTGATAATAATTCTTTTACTAAAGTATTTTGTAAAAGTTATAATATTAAATATTCAGCAAAGTAGCTAGAATAGCTTGAAAAATAGATTGCTCTTGTTCTATTAAATTTATTTATAAGCATCCATCATAATTTTGATAAAGCATTTAAAGTACTTTTAAAATCCAACTTTACAAACTTTTTATATTTAAAACTCAAGTTGATATTAAGATAATATCAATAATTTGAAATACATCTCATTCACCTCAAAGGATAAATATTGTAATTTAAAGGATTATACAAATTTAAATAAAGTAGGTTGTATTTTAGCTTGTGAATATGCTTATTTCTATAAATGTCTTTTGTTTAAAGTAAGGAATTAATATTAATATTATATCAATTATTTTGTGAGTAAAATTGAAAGTAATTGCAAAACTTTTCAAAAAACTGTAAATTCATTTAATAGAATAATCATGAATGAAGATATAAATAAATTGAATATTATTGAAACTGAAACTGAAGATAGTTTTAATATTGATGAAAACTTTGTTATAAATAATAATATACATTTACAATTTGAAAATGCTGTAAATGTTTTAATAAACGCATAATATAAAAAATAATATTTATTATTATAAAAGATTCTAATATGTGAAAATAATAAAATAAAAATTTTTTTTTAAATATCTTATTTTTTAAGTTAATTATATTATAAATTATAATAAATTATAATTTTTGATTTCATTTTCATAATTTAATTAACTATTATCGTTGATTTAAAGTTAAAAATCATGTGATATTGTTATTTTCATTAACCAATAGAATTTTATCAATATTAAAATTAGATCTATAAAAATTAGCCAATTAAAGCCTACTATGCTAGGCTACCCTAATCTATTGTTCAGAATAATATGCTATTTGATACAAATATTGAAAAAATGGCTGATAAGAATTATGATAATGAAGAATTTTTGGAAAATGAAAGGATCTTCAAAAATTGTTCAAGAAACAGATATATTTAATATAATTGATCCATAGTATTCATATTTTTTGATTATTTTTTGATATATTATTTTATATATATAATTATATTTTATATTTTTATATTTTATTATAATAAATTATTATTTTTTATTGTAAATTTCGGATTTGTTACAAATAATAAAACAATTTTATATATATAATTAAATGAATTATTATTATATTAAGTTTTTATTATATTGCAAATTTTTTAACTGAATATTGGTTGAAAATGTTTCTGAATTTTTATTGAGTATTACTGAGTAATACCAAGTATTACAGTTTGGAATTAGATGAATTAGCTAATTTTAAACTATAATTCAGCTTAGCTGATTTGAAATACTTTGACTAGCGTATGTATCATTACATGTTATATCATCTAAAAAAAATAAAATAATTTTTTGATTAAAATCATATAAAAAGAAATATTAAAATGTTTTATAAAAAAACTTCTAATTCAATTTGTAGAATATATTAAAATATAAAAAAATATTGGAATTTTTTAATTTAGCCATAATCTAAAGTTAATATTAAATAAATTTAAAATAATTTTCTACCAATTTATTTTATTTTCTATTTAATAATTTGAGTTTAATTAATAAATATTTATATTATTCAAATAATAAAATTATTAATAAATTTATTTTATCATTTTTTAATTATGTAATATGAAAGTTATATAATTATACAAAAAGGTATATACAAAAACTTTGCAAATAATAATAATAATAATTTAAAGAACATTTGAAATATTTTCTTGGAATTATTTTATTAAATGAAGTTTTGGTTTCATTTTTCAATAATTATCAACAAGAAGATAATGATAATAAGTTATAAATGTAAATTTTGATCCAATATTTTTGCAAAGCAATAATAGCAAATCTTTTATTTAATTAGCGAATACCATTTGAATAAACCAATAGTTTTTAAATTTTACTGCGGAACGCGAAAAATTTGAATTTTGTTAAAAGCAAATTAAGCTCAAAAATCAAATTTTAATTATGTTTGAATTCATAAATAGACAATATATATATAATATTTATACATACAATAAATACACTTGAACATCTATGTAAAGCTAATTGGCTGCTTTGGAAATCACTTTAAAAAGTTGTAGCGCAATTTATAAAGAAAAATTATAATTACAAAATGATAATTTCTGAATTCTAGATTATCGAAATAATTTTTAAGAAACCTCGCGTTAAGAACACGTAATTATAAGCGTAAGACGGAAAAGTATTCGCGATTTCTAATAAAAATAAATATCAAATACTTTTGTTCCGCTTTTTCACATATGGCTCGTCCCAAGCTTATAAAACCTCTAAATCCATCACTCTACACATGCCATAGAAAAATAATAATAAAATTCTTGCCAATCCTTTATGTCATGACTCATCAGAAATTTTCATCTCTTTAAGGCCTTAGTTACGATACCATTCAAGGCGTTTTTGTTATTATTATTATATTAAGGACTATGTCAGATCAATATTTATATTATGAAGTCGAAGATCGATATAGTTACTATAGTTACACTTCAATCCAATGATCTACAATATCCTAATTTTTCGGTGATATCACTATTTTGGTATTTTCTCGCCGGATTTGTTTGTTTGGTTTGATCTTGATTTAATTTCTTTAATTTAATTCATGATAGATTTTTGTAATAAACAATTTTGAAATTTTCGGAAAGGTATAATGGACTGAAAATCTCCGCACGTTATAGCTATTTCTGGAAATTTTTTGAAAGATGCATTGTTTCGATCAAATAATTTTTAACAGGCCGCTTATCCTACGAACATCTGCTGCGGCAATATTTATTCAACTATTTTATTTTTACATCTTCCTCTCCCCTATTGTTGGATCTTATTATCAAATTATTTCTTTCTTTCTATTTTGTAGTTAGAAACAAAAATTTAAATAATTGTGTTTTAAGATCCACTTTATTCTTTCCTAATACATAGAACCTTTTGCTGTCATGATGATTCTTGTGCATTACTAATGCTGTTCGGCGTGATTGTCAAAAGATAAATTTATAGGTTCAAAAATGGCTTTTGTATCATTAATCAATTTTTGATCAATACGGGCCCATGGTGACTGTGTTATTCCAAGTAGAAGAGAAAATAAGTTAAATCAATTGGCCAAGTTGATGATAGATGCTTGACAGAAATATTTTTTTTTGCAAGGAACCTATTTGAAACACTAATTTAGATTTTATTTCCGTAATTTAATTAAAAATTATCTTTTTTTATCAAAAAAAAAAATATTTAATTGTTTTTATCGGATAAATTTATTATTCAGGTTAATTGGCTGAAATATTTTGTAATCTTTGGTATAGGTTTTGTTACTCATTACTGAATAATCAATTTAAATAAATTTTCTATATTCAAGAAATTTATTAAGAGTATTAATGATTCAAATATTAACCGTTCGAGTATGGTTAGAGTTTATTTAAAAACAATAGTTCCGACATGTTTGTTGACAAGCACGTTTATATGCACGTTTACATAGATCAAATAATAATCACATTCCAATTGCAATTTTTTTTTTTTTTAATTTTTAATTAAAATTTTCTTCGGGTTGACATTAATAAAAATGTCTATTGTCAATAAATGAAGATCATTTAATTATGGTAAATTTCAAATTTTCCTTTTTCTTTTAAAAAAAGGGGGGACCCACCAATTTCGCACATGTAAAATACGCAAATTTCATTTGTCGAAATCTTTAACGTGATTAATTATCAAATTTGTTTTAGGACATAAATCAAAGTAGCTGATCCTTTATTCACATGAGGTCTTTCGGATTTAATAAAAGAATTAAAAATTATTTGATTACACAAAACCATTTACATCAGGTCATTATCCTGCACGTGACTTACTATGCAATGACCAAAAACTCTGAATTTTCTTGCTAATAAAGAATTCTTTTTTTTTTCTCTCTCTTCTTTGGAAAGAAAAATTAGAATAAAATGAATAATAAAACTCCCTTTTAAAATAAAAATTACAATAGTGGAATTTTTTTATTCACAAAAAAAAAATTAAAAAAAAAAATCATTGAATATCATTGAACCTAATTTGTATATGAATTTTGCAAATCACTTTCGATTTAAACGTGTAGGATTTATCGATTATTTATTGGTTATAAATTTCTCTAGAAAATATTTTTAAAGGCAGCAAATTTTTTGAAAATGTCAGAATTCATCAACAATTTTTTTCCTTCAAATTTTCATAAAAACTTTTCGCTTAAAAGCATCTTAATCATCTTAATCACGATAAGTAAATTTAAACATGGTCGAATTCGGATATCAAATAGGTATTTATTTTTAACGATGAAGTTTCGTAATCAATCTTTCTATATCTCTCTTTTTTTGATTTTTAAATTTAAATTTCTTTTTTTTTTTTTTATAGGCAACGATAATAACCCTAAATTCCTTAAACCACACAAACTTGATAAGATTAGTCTCAAAGCTACAAGATTAAAATTTGTAGTCATTGGAACAAAAGATTTAATATTTAACTGGATGGAATGTAATGGAAGGGTTATCTGTGAATTCGAACAAGGATTTCATTACACGTCACCATTATCAGACAAGAAAATGCTTTTGTTTGAATTATATGATGTTGATGAAAATCGCGAACACCTTCATGGTTTCAAAAAATTCCTCACCGGAAAGAGAAAGCATCATAGTTCCACCAAGATGAGGTTGGAAATAAGCATTGTAAGTGATAATGCATCTTTACCAACACCAAATTCAAGTACAGAAGATGAGAACCCGATGTTAGTTACGTATTCTAAAGGATTGAGCGGAGTAGCATTACATCAAGTTCTAGATACGTGGAAATCAACCTTCCATTCGAGTTCAAACCTGGCTCGCGATTATGAATAAAAATTATTCCAAAAAAAAAAAAAAAAAAAAAAAATAGAAAGAAAATTTATAGTTTATTATTTCGTAATTTATTCGATGCTTTTAAAGTAACATTATTACATACAAAAATTTCTCCACTCTTTAAATTTTACTTTCCTTATAAAATATCGTATTCAGATTCATATTTATCGTCGTTTACTTATTGTAATTCAAAAAATATTAAATTTATAATTTCGATAGGAAGGAAACCAATTTTCAAAAGCGATCTTATTTATATATTATTATTTTTATAACATTTTAATTTTCATTTTTAATTATGACGTTAGTAAGAATTAAGAATTAAGAACAAACATACTTTCTTTATATGAACTAAACTATGGTAAAAGAGATGAGAATTCTTTTAATTTATATTCTTTATGTATTTTTTTTTTTTCTGATAATAATAAAGTTTCAATCAAGGTGTTCCTCTATGAATATATAAAAGTTCCCGTTTTAAATTTCTTGATATGTTCATAAGAAAAGGTACGAATATTTAAATTTTTTGATCTCAAGTTGATTCTTTTTTCTCATAACCACATGAATTGCGTACAAAAAAAGAGGTGTCAATATCATATCAGTTTACTGATTTTCACCAAAGATCTCTCTCTCATGAGGTGGAAAAACAATTTAGTATAACTTGCGGTAATGTTCCCATCTGATTAAAATTTATATATGCGTTTACACCGCGTCATTATCATAAAAATATCCAAATTTAGGTTTAAGCGATTGATTTATTGTTGAGTACATATAATTTTTTTATTGTAATAAGATATTCTCATTTACCTTAATTGTAAAGGTGAATAACGAGAACACGCGTGATCAATGTAAAGTCACATGCTGGAAAAGTCTGAAAATAAAATTACAATATTTTAGATCATCAAAAGGAACATGCCAATGTGATTACCAATGAATTAGAAATGGTAAAATCTCAATTGGACGTTTCGAATCAAGATATTGATTTAAATGACGAAGAATTTAGTAAATGCGAAGATGGAGCTGATTACCTAATGCTGAAAATGATGAGCGGCTAAGACAAAGATTTCGTGCCTATTATAATCAGCTAGACCGACACGACATGCCGACGAATTAGAAACAGAGGTTACGAAACTAAGAGCTCGGAGAGAAATAATTACTTTAAGAGGTTGTATTTTTATGTTTATTTTATGGAAGATTACTTGATTTTATAAAAAAAACTTTGTCTGAAGAAAGTAAAAATATTCTTATGTATTTTATACTCTGATCGCAAGTATACACAATATTCAAATTTTCTTTTCAAATAAAATGAACTGGTTTTGATCTTTATTATAATACATAAAACAAAGTTTTACTAAAATAAATACATATGCAATTTACATATATCAACAAAACACGAAAACAAGTATCCTTCAGTTTCCTAAAACAAATATATGTACACGCAACCAAATAAAAAGGATCCTTACCGTATGACCTAGAAAATAACGGAACCTGAAACAAACCTACAAAAACCTACAAAAATAACACCACTACAAAAAGCAATCTAAAAAACTTGTACCTCGAAAATCGAAGAGCGGACGACCTGCCTAACCGACTAAATAAAGAAGGGAGGAGAGTAATAGTAAAGTAAAAAATTTTGATTAAAAAATGTCATATAAGAATACAGAACTATCAAAACAGCTCTAATATTTTGCGTGTACATCATATTATTTGTTGGAAGAAGATTGATCTTTAGAATCTTTATAATTACTGATAAAAATTTGGGGGTAAAGAAATTTTAGGGTATGAACATGCACGAATTTCACGTGATAAGTTTATTTGGATATTTACTAAAAAATTTCCGCTGTCTGATACGTGATCGTTATCGTTACTTAGTTTTTTTTTTGGTTTTTTAAAAAAAATAGGCTCTGTAAGTAAAAAGTTAAACATAATTAGGAAGCGACAAATATAATAACGTTCGTATGTTTTCTGAGATTTGGAGTTACCGTCACTTTTAAATACTAAAATAAAAATAAAGGAAGGATTATTTAATATTTCATGATTGAATGCGGAAATAACTTTAAAGAATGGTTTTTTGTTTATTAAATGAAATCATTAATGCTATCACTAAAGATTAATTTTATCATTAAAATAAAAAGTCATTTATTAAAATATTTGTGAGCAATGGTAGTGCAGCCATATGAGCATGATGAATTCAGAAATTTTATTTATGTAAACTTTTTTTATTAGTAAAAAAATACATATTATTTTCGTAATATTGAAACATTTAATATACTATCAAATAAATATATAGGCCTTTATAATAAGAAAGGGAAATCGATATGTAAATATTTTATACCGGCTGAAAAGCATAATAATTTCATTTTGTCGCACATTAGTAATTCCAACCATTATAATCTATATAGTCAAAGTCAATAAATTCGAATATAAGGTAACAAAATGATTTGTTATAAAAAAGCAAACCATTCTAAATAAGGTTGCCCCGAAGTTTCGAAATCGAGATTGGATTTGACGTTTTGCCAAAAAATTTTTAAATCGAAAGAATTATTTTTAACTTTGCCAAAATGGAATTAGGGTTTTGCCCCGCAACTTTATATGTGAAGGTTTGCCCATGATTAAAAAAAAAATGACAAAAATTATAAGCATATATTTTCATAATTGCTGAGAAATATGATCTTTTAAATCCCACTCTTATTACTTTTAATCAATCTAATAAAATTATAAAAATTTAACATGATTTTTCTAACAAAAATATGCAATTCATTTTTTTATTTTTTTTTTTCTTGTCTGTTATATTTTAAAATTTATGATATGTTTTCAGAGAGTGTGTTTTTATCTTTATTTAAATTAAATAATAATTTATATACATATTAAATTAATGAAAATATCAAATATATTTTGTAAATTTCTCAAAAATTATTCAAATTAAATTAAATAGAATCAAAAATTTGTCAAATCAAATCAAATTAAATTAAATCAATTAATTATTTGAATCATATTAAATCTTTGTTTAAATATTTGATAAAGATTTTTAATTTATATAATCAAACATTAAAATAAAATTATTTCTAAGATTTTATTAAGAAAATGTTAGTAAAATATACTTTTACAATTTTGGAAACATTTTTACTAAAAAGATGTTAGTAAATATATTTGCAATATTTTATATTAAAACTTAGCAAAAAATATATAGTTGCTTTTTTTTTTAAGATTTCTTAGTAAAAAATACCCTTTAAAATCACAAATGTATTATTATTAAGTTTTTATTAATAAATATTGTTCTGAATTATTTTTATTAAATTTTTCTTAATAAAATATGTCTTTAAAGTATAAAATTATTTTTTATTAAGTTTTTTTAGTAAAAATGTCTTTGAAATCACAAAAATGTTTTTACTTAATAATCCATTTTTAAACTTTAGAAACAGCTTTATTAATTTATTAAAATTAAATTAAATATTAATTTAAATTTGTATTTAATTTTATTTTCAAATCTAATATTAAAATATCAAATAAAATTGTAGAATCCTAGTATTTTAAAAAATATATAAGTAATAATTACTATAAAAATTTAAAAAATATATAAAGTTTATTTATTTTTTAAATATTTTTCTTACATTTTCATTCAAAATCATTTATTCTAAACAAATTTTTTTAAAAAAATTTTATCAATATATTAAAAATATATAATAAAATATAAAATTTATCAGAAATATACTATATAGTAGTAATGTTGTGAATAAATAAATATTACACAGTATATGTAATGCAGATGATTGACCAATTTGACAAATCTGACATACCTGACATTTCTTGTACATCTGATATTTCTAACATATTTAAAATATATAATATGATTGATATATTAAACATAATTAATTAATTAGACATATTCAACATATTATTTATATTTATCATATAGATATATATGATATATCAGTTTTATTTTTTTATGTAATATATTTTATAGGTAGCTTTTTAAATCATGTAAAAAGTAGGATTTGACAAGTTAGTTTCTAGTAATTTTAAAAAGCAAACAGACCTATCATATTACACTTTAGTTTAGTGAATCGTTTCTTTATTTCTTTCTTTTTTTATCATTTTTTTTATTTTTTTTATTTTTATTTCTTAATTCATCAATAAACATATTATTTTGCAATATAAAGAATCACTATTTAGATACCTTATCTAACAGGAAGAATTACACATTAATAATATGTATTTACAATCAAACCTTGATATAGCGAACCCTTGATATAGCGAAATTTTAAATCAAATATATTAAAATTAACTTACTATAGTGAACTAGCCAATTAAATCTTTAAAAATTCGTTATAAGTTTATAATGAAGTTGATATCCAGATCCTAGAATTCGTTATATCAAGAGATCACTGTATACTTTTAATGGTATAAAATTTTAATTGAAACCTTTTAAACCAAATGATTTTTTAGAAAATAATAGTTTTAAACCTTTTAAAGGTACTTTTTAATAGTACTTCCAATTTTTTAAGAACATATTACTGCTATATAGTATTAATTATAATATTTGAATTTATTTAAATAAAAAATAATCTAACTTAAATAATAATATTTGAAAAATACTTTATAAGAAAGGAAGTATATTAAAAGATTATATTATATAAATAATTTTTTACATTTTTTCTTGAAAAATAAAAATTATTTTTATTTCTAATTTTATTTAATTATTATATTTAATTATTTATTAAAAAAGAATAAAATATATTATATATTTTATTAATTATTAATATTTTATTTATTGAATATATTATTATAAATACTGTTGACTATCATACATCTCAAAATGAATAATAAAAAAGTATAACTATAATAAAAAGTAACTATATAAAAGGATTTTTTATAGTATTATTAAGTATTAGTTCTAAAGGTATATGACTATAAAATCATTATGATTATAAAAGAATACTTTATATAATATTAATAAGAATTGATTTATATAAAATGTATATTAATAATAGAGGATTTATAATAGTAGAAGGAGTCAACTATATATATTTTTAAAATAATTAATAATCAAATATTATTTAAAATAATATTTTTTGTAAGTAAATAATACTTTATTAAGAAGTAGTTTAATTAATATAATATAGTAATAAGCAAGTTAATTATAAAAAATAAAAAATAATTATTTTCTTTTTAATCAATATAAGTAATTATTATTAAATATTTTTAAAACTTTGATAAAATTAAAAATATAATATTAATTTAATAATTTTTAAAAGTAGCTAAAAAAGATTTATATTATAATATAATTTAAAATAATATTCATAAAATAAATAAAATAAAGAATTAATATATTTAAATCTATTATAATATATACAAATTTCTAATAATAGAAAATAAAACTCAATTTACTAATAAATACTATTATTATTAATTAATTTTTTTCTATTAGTTAATTATAAAGTAAATATTTTGCTAGCTTTATTTAATATCTTATTTTTTTTTTTACTTATATAAAAATATATAGTATATTAAATAAAATAATAAAATTATTTTATTAATTTATTTATTAAAAAAATATAATTAAATATCTTCTTATAATAAGATTTCACTTCTAGGAACAAAAGTTTTAAAGGTTTTATTTACTTTTTACTTGACAAAATTACAGAGAATATAAGATTCGTCTTTATTTATAAATTGATATTTAGTTTAAAGTATTTTATTATTCTATTCTAATAAACAAAAGTTATTATAATATGATTTTATTTTTCTACTAATTTTATTAAATTTTATTCTAAAAATATTCTTCTAATTTTAAATTATAATATTACTTTAAATAAAATTAAAAAAATAAAAAGCTCTTTATTTTCAACTTTATTATTATCTACTAAATATTATTAGTAATTATGTTATTTGAAATCCGTTTTATAGAATTAGTTTATTTTATTGCTTCAGTTTACTTTAGAATAATAATATTATTTAAAACTTATTTTAATATATAGGAGCATTTCCAGTAAAATTACATTATAGATCATATGATTTATTATATTTTATAACTTGATTTTACTGAAAACATTTCTATATATCCTATTTAGTAAATTTAAAACTTTAAAATGCCTTTTTTAAAAATCTAAAACTTGATTAAAATTTAATTGAGTTTAGATAATCTATTATAAGTTTAGATAAAAATATTTATTATAAATAAATAATTTAATCTCAAATATTTC